AAAAAAAAAAACGGTAACCTGGTTGCCGAGTTCACGAAGTGAATTGGCTTGTTTTACAACGTCTTTGCCAAGCGACGAAAACCCAATCCCGATGGCAAACACCGGGGGGGGCGGCTTGTTTTACAACGTCGTTGCCAAGCGACGAAAACCCAACCCCGATGGCAAACACCGGGGGGGGCTAACACCGGGGGGGCGGCTTGTTTTACAACGTCGTTGCCAATCGACGAAAACCCAACCCCGATGGTAAACACCGGGGGGGTTGATTGTGGGGAGGCTGCATTTTGAGCCCTTTTCGGCGGGGGATGGTGTACTCGTAATGTTCTTTGAATTCGGCGTTCTTGGTCAGATTTGTCAAAACTTTACTTACTTATTAAAACAGGTAGTAGGTGCGTTTGCTCTCTATTCTCGTAGCAGTTGAACCTGGTGCCGAGAAAGAAAACAGCTATCGGTATTTTACTGTATCCCGTGGCACCGCCGCGCGGTTGCACGTGCTCACGTCGAGGATTTCCGTGCTAAACGAAAGGATACTACTCGATGTCTACGGACGCGTAACAAAAGTAAACGGCAAAATCACTCAACCATTGCACTCTACTCCCCGCGGTATCGAATTTTTCGAACAGGAAGGAAACAAGCACTCCGAGGCCAGAACAATCGACAGCAGCAAACTTTCGGCGAACTCGCGCATACTGGCACGCATTGAGCGTTTGTGTTCGGCCTTTGGGGCAAGCTTAGTACACCGGATGGTGATGGGCGAACCGCGTACGGCGGAGGAGGAGGCCAATGCGCAATGGTTGGTTCATCCGCTTCTCCTCCATGCGGAGGTGATTTCTGGGCGTCGCGAATGGCTTGGTGACCAGCAGGATATTTCCCTGTGGTTGTGCGATACGACCGTTACACCGCGCCCGCAACCTCGAGCGCGCGGAGAAACCTCGGAGGTGGGTGTGCTCCCAAGAAAATTGAGCCAAGGGGATGGATGGGTTGGTATCTCATTGAACCCGTCCGCCTTCGTGCACCAGCTATCAGTGAACCCCTCGAGTCGGGAGTCCCGTGCGCTGTCAAGCGCAATGAGGCGCGTGGTGCTGCAAGACAGAGGCGGTGACCCAGCAACTAACGACGTCGTGTGGAGTGTGGCTCTAGCAGCTGTGTACCACGCCGGCCTCGCGGGGGAACTGGCGGAGGTAGCTCGCGCAGAGATCGATTGGGCCGAAGGCAACTTCACCGCCGAAAATATGGACGACAGCGGGGCTCCAGTGAACCCTTCCCCGGCTCTTGTGCGGGCATGGCGGTCCGCCCAAACCGCGCGGGCCCGATTGACGAGGGGCACCCGTGCGCTCGTTCTGCAAAGGGCGCGTTTCCTTCTTTTCCTTGAACCATGGGTTTCCATGAGACGCGTGAAGCGACAATTCGGAAGCCCCCGCGACGTCTGCATTACCCGTGCTCTGAAGGGAAGCGAACTGGTGCTTGAATGTTTGTTGAGCCCAGTAGAAACAGCAAGCGCTCGAGATGGCGGCGGCGGTGTCAACGGTGCTGAGGATAGATCTACCGTGCATTACGTAGATGCGCGAGAAGTAGACCAAGGCTGTCTGCTGCACATCATCGACGCGCGGAGCGAACGGGCGACGACAAGAGCTAGGGGTTTTGAGCTGGCCGCGCAGCTGCTTGATGGAACGAGTTCCGACCGGGCGACCGCTGATGTTTTAAGAGCGGTGGCAGATGGATTGCTGCGAGCCGGGAGTCAACGGCTTGAGCACATCAGCCCCGAGGGCAAGAGCACACATCAAGCAGTTGACAAGTGTGCCACGGAGAGATTGAACGAGGAGCACGAGACGTCGGGGGTTCTATTGCCTCCAGGATCATTTGCGGGAGAGGGTTTTGGACTGGCAGAACCAAACGCTGGCAGGTTGCATTTCGTGCGTGGGACCGAGTGCTGTGATCCTAAGTGCAAATCGGCGCTCGTGGAATCCGTCGCAGGTTTCCTCAGCCAGTGCTCTATTGTTTTGGGGCAGGAGAGAATCGGAGATCGGGGTTCAGCGGGGAACCGTCTTACGCGTCCGTTCGTGCTCGTGCACGCCCTTCGTGCGGTGTCCATGGACTACGATTTCCATGATCATGACCTTGTTCATCGTAGCCAGCTGCTCCCGCCCATCGCAAGTCTCGTAAACGATACCGATCGTTCTGTCGCTGCTGAGGCTTCAAGGGCATTGCAGGCGGTCTACCGCTGTGCTGTACCAGCTGAAAGGGGCATGAGCGACGCGACCTGGGAGCGTGTGGGGGAGGGTGCCGACTGTACTTCACAGCGGAAAGCAACGAGAGACGGGTCCGGTACCCCTTTCCAGGTTTCGTTCTTCGGCACCGTCCGCAGCATGCTTGAGAGAACAGCCGAGGCGAATGGAACGAAAACTCCAGGAACATTGAATCACAAGCTCGTCGAGGACGACAAGACTCCCACCGCTGGCACGCCGGCCCTTCATATCGACAGCATGGGCGGTGGCACCGGTTGTGCTTTGAGCGGAGAGAGAATGCTCTCGGGGGAGATGGAGGCGAGAGCGGCTCAGGTTCTGGCGCTAGCTCATGCCTGCTGCCGAGTGGAGTGTGGTAGGCGAGAGCTTACGAATGTGGTCGCTGTTCGCGCTCTGCTGAGATTGGTTCTGTTGGCGAAACCTGAGATGCGTGGCTGGGCATTGCGGGTTTGCCGGGTGACGCTGCCGTGTGTAGCTCCGCGCTTGGTGCATGATGAGTTCAGGTAAGTTTCTGCCATGACCAATCTGTAGGGTACGGCGCTCAGGTGCGGGCGGGCGATGTCCATGGATCCGAAGCCGAGAGTGTCTTGCGTGGGTGTCGCCCGCGCTTGTTCTTCAAGCGTTTGCAGACCATGTTTTTTTTTTCTTCTTAGCTCCAGTGGCTGGTGCTGTTCCTTGTGGGTCGAGATGATGACGGAAAAGGAGGCTCCTTCGCACTATCGCGGTAGAAAGTTTCTCTTGAAGGTGGAGGAGGTAAGAGAGATATCGTCATTTTTCATATGGCAATACATGTCGATTGGAACTACCTTGTGAAGGCACTGCATCACTCAGTGAAAGGTGCCCAACCTGTTACAATGTACGTGCGCAATCCGCCGTCCAAGATCTCTCACACGAGCCTCAGCTGTTATTCGTAGTCATCCCCCCCACCCCATGGCGGCCTTCACGAGCGTTGCCTTCATTTATTGTTTCAAGTCTGGTCTTACCCGCAGCTGCCGCAAAAACTGGGTGTGATAGGCCAGCCGCCCACAAAAGTCCTTGAACTTGGTCATCTACTTTTTCCCACCGACAGGTGTATCGTTCGTGAGCGCCAGCCTTCTTATGAAGGGTCGTTCGTCGAATGTGCCCTTCTCCTCGTAGGGCAGATTGCCGGGGTCTGGACAACGCTTGAATGCGGTGCGTCTGAAATCGATAGCGAACCCCCCGCATCGCCACCAACGGCAGGCAAAGGATGCGCGCTGGACATGCTCCTGGCACCCGCCGGAAATCGAGCGTGGCGGGAACAGGTTCCCGCGAGAGATTCGTTCAGGTTTGGTCGGAAAGAAGACTGGAGAACGTCTCGACGCTGCCAATGTTTCCACGATCCAATGAAGCTTTCGGGTCTAGGCGGTTCGAGGGCGTATGGGCGGGTAGTATTGGATAGGAGATCGACGCAGGATACGCCAGTCGCCGGCTGCGTCCTTGTGCACACGCGAAGGAAGACGTGTTAAATGACTATTTCCCTTTTATGTATTTTTCCATCTCGAGAAACCGTGTTCATTCTGCTCGCCAATGGGCACCACAAGACGAGGCGTATATACGCCAGAGCTGGCGAGTGCGAAGCGCCCTCCAATAGCTCGGTACAGCGACCTAGGCCTACCCACAGCACAACAACCCACAGCGACCTAGGGTTAGGGATAGGGTTTAGGGATGGATTAGGCCTAGCGAGGCCTAGCGCCGTGATGTAGCCTGAGGGCTTCAAACTTGCTAGTGGCTTTGGTTTCGTGTCTGCCTCCAACCACAACTCAAAAACTCTTGAATTGGCGAGTGCGAAAAAGTCGCTAGCTTGGCGTATATGCGTCCCCACGATCATATAGGTCGGAAGCAGCATAACCTCAAGGCACCCACCATTGTACCCTTCTCTCTTGTGTGCACACACCCCGCGCACAGCTTGTCTTCCGAGCTGGTGTCTCTTCTGCATGAGCTGGCTGGGGGGGCAGATACAAAGGAAGTTGAGAGCGGGGGGAGGAAACCGTCGGATTTTTTGCCGGCGTGGCAAGAGGAAGTCGCCACGGTTGTCTGTCGGTGCTTGCAGCGGGCGGGTCCCATTGTGGAATCGCTTCAGAGACACAAAATGCTGGAGGAGACAAGACTCTGGGCGGAGGCGGCAAGAGCTCGTGGCCAACTTGGTGTCAACCGTGAAGGCGCCACCAGCGCTGCTGTGATCGAGGAGAGGGATGAGGCGGAGCCAACGCCGCCATCTGCTGACGACGTCGATCGCCTCGTGGCGGTGCTCTGCCTGCTTGGCGGCCAGTTTGAAGGCTTGTACCCGGGGGCCAGGGTACTCTGTCGCTTGCCCCCTGGAGAGAGCTCTTCCGACGTCCCCGGCGGGTGGGGAGACAGGGTAACAGTAGAGGCGACGGTGCTGCGGCTCCCGTTCTCTGGAACGAAGCCACCTGGTGGCAACAGCAAGCCCGTTGGAGACCTGCCTGTGGATGAGACGACATCCGCAGACGGTGGTAGCGGCGATGGGGCCGGGAGCAGCGGGGTCGAGAGCGCAGAAGGGCAGCGGCAAGTGGCGAGTCGATTGTTCTCGGCGCGTTTGTTGCGGCGCCCGGCAGGGTGCACCCGGCCGCTGGACGCCTACGAGGGACTCACCGATGAGGGATTTTCCAGGGGCGCGGAAGGGTCGACGGCCGTCGCGATGCAGGTGCACGAACAGCGACGGCTGGAGCGGCAGCAACGACTGATGCACGAGCATCAAGCCCTTTCGCTGTGTATGCAGGGTGCAAGGTTCGGCAGAGTTTCCCGCTCACATGGTCAAGGCAGAATAAACGTAGGGGGGAAGCAACCTCTGCCCATCGTGGGACAATCAGTGCTCTTGTCAAGGAGCGGAAGGGAGGAGGAAGGCGTGGCGACGACGAACAACCCTGCCGGCGGTGGTAGCGTCACTGCGTCGGCCTCACCTAGGAGGCAGCAGCCAGTCAGCGCCTGCGAGGAGTTGGTTACCGTGGGAGTTTCGCAAGATGACCGAGGAGTCGCACCCTCTCCCCGCGTGTTTACCGTTCCCGTCAATAGCGTGACCCTGGTGCACAATGGGGTGCCAGGAGCGCTCGTAAGGACGCTGTCCTCGTACGCTCAGGAGTTCCTCCCTGGGCTGAAGGCTGTGCTGGAAGCTGAAACGACGTTTCGGGGTGCGTGTACACTGCCAAGCGTGCCACCGGTCATATGTGAAGGCACGTAGTTCAAGGAGAGCCGGTTGCTAGACAAATGCTTGCAAAATTCCGATCACGAGATCATCACTGGCCGTTCCTAGGATGGCCATCGACTTCTGTTTTGGCATGCATCCATCTGTCTTTGCATCCCCCCCGGCAGGGTTTTCTCGAGTTTTGAATTAGCCGTCAAGCATTATTGTGTGTACCGTTGCTTCTTGACGTCACCTTCCTATACATTTCCTATGCTGGCTTGCGCAGGTCCGACGTATGCACCATTGCAAAGCGCCTCGAGCCTTGCGTGTACCGTCGAGTCCGCGCACCCGTACCAACCAGGCGAGGACCGCATGTGGCCTATCTCCGTAGCAGGCGCGGAGACCGTTGAGGTGCGTGGGTCCACGGTGCAGCCACGAACGACAGGGCTAGCGATTTGGTGGACAGTATTGAAGATGCATTCTTAGATAGTGCGGCCCTTTTCGGAACGAGCGGCGGTCGGGTACAACTGGTCAGATGGAGTCTCGTGTTTTCGCGGCGGGGTGTCATGGTTTCGCCACCATTTTATCCATTTGCCATGCATTGACTCGATCGATTATCAGTTTTCCGTATATCCCTACGCTTCGGCTCCAAGAATCTCTCCTCAGCCCCGTCGTTGCCGTGCTCCTCCCCGCCTCGGTCGTCAGCTATATTTTGACCCGATGTCGCGCGTCCGTCGCCCGGAGGACCACATCGCTCTCAGCTGGCGGACGCCGTCCGGAGGCAGCGGCCACCGTCGAGTCTGCCCTTGCTCCCCAGTAAACCACAGCAGTGGCCGCGGGGGTCCCAGACCCTGCGAGGGCGACGACGGGAGAAGCCAAGCCTGGCCGGGGGTCGGAGCCGAACCTCCTCTGTTGGTGATGGCGGGAGACTTGACTGTTCGGTTCGTGACTGACATCGCCCTCGACGCCACTTCGGCTGAAGCAGGAGCTGCCTCTGGAGGGGGCGACGATGAGACGTCGGGGGCAAGACCGACGGCGACACGGGCGTGGGGTTTTCGTCTGACAGCCGTAAGCCCAAAGGTGCGGCTTTTGCAACCCCTGTAGTGATTGGACTGAACTTGAAGCCTGCCTCGTCCGTCGCTGCGGGAAAGAAGGAATGGTCGAGAAGGGCGATGTATTCAACGCCTTTTTCATATCGTTAAATTGACCCCCCTTAATTGTACGAGCACCAATCTCGATATTTTCTCTTAGGTACCGCCGAAAACGCCGCGGCCTCAACCACCATCGAACGCGCGGGCAACCTTGTGCGACCTTCGTGCCCGTGCGTCTTTGGGTTTGGCGTCGCTCCTGGAGCACGGTGAAATGTCCGCAAGACTCGCCCCTGTGTTGCCGGTCTTGGTGAAGGCTGCACTTGGTGCTGCCTCAGAGGTGAGAGGGTTGTTATGGTCCTGTCGTGTGCCCTCTGCTACCCTTGTGTGCGGAGGACACAGCCGCCGCCAGCCACCAAAGAAAGAGTCCTCCCCTCGGTTTTGGCTGGAACATCTTGCAGACCGGCTTGTTTTCTTCCGGTTGATGGTGTAGTCTCTACCCTTCCCCTACCCCGGCGCCTCGCTGCATTGCTTGCGCTGCTCACACCGCGGCAACACACCCTTGCTCTTAACTTTACGATACCCGTTGCGTGCCATGGGGGATCAAGGTGGCGATCGGTGGCGATATTCCCGGCGCCGGGACTCCACAGCCGTGGCTGGAACGTCGACTGGCTCGTGCTTATGGCCTCCTTCACCGGCAGGCGAGTCTATCTCGTCAACGTCGACACCTTCTCGCTGTGCACGCACACGCCCTCTTTTTCGCACACATACCCATCAAGGAGTGCCTCGCGCGGACTGCAGTTGTACGAAAACGGGGTTCTACTTGCACGCTTTCCTAAAGCTGAACTAGGAGGTTAAATTTCTTTTTTGTGTCTTTTTTTTGGTGACTGCATCGCTGGCCCTATGCTGCAGACACCCGGGGCATTCGAAAGAGTAGAAGACGGAGCGAATAGCAATCACTGAGTGAAAATGGCATGCAGCGAGGCGCTTGTACCGCATTGGTAGGGGTATGCACTTCCTACATAAGGGATACGATGATGCGACCCTTTTTTCATTTTGTCCGGTGGGTGGTAGTTGGATGACCGCGACGCCCTTCTCCTGTTTTGCTGCCGCTCGATACCACCGTCCCCGTGTTATCGCAGCGCGGACCTCCATCGAGGCTACCGGAAGCCGATTTCGTCCAGTTTCCCTACAGCATCGGCGCCACCCCTCCACAGCAAAGGGATACCTTGGGCGAAAGCTCCACTGTCCCCACTAGCGCCGCTCGCCTCGACACTTCGCCGTCTACGGATTTCTGTTCGTCGGAATCGACCGCTCCAGAACCCGGATATGTGGGGGGGCCACCACCTCTCGAACAAATCAGCAACACAGCAGTCGGATTGTGCGCGGACGATTCATGGCCCAGGTGGGACAAAGAATCGACGTGCATGCACTTGAAGCACTCTCGGCGTGCCCAGCATGTTCTTCTGTGGTTCGCACACTCCTTTGTTGTCCATCTTGCAACCCTGTTAGTCCTCCTAACATAAAATGGGGACCGTGTTTGTTGATGGTAGTGTTGATTTCGGGTGCTACTATCTTCCCCGATGAAGATGCTCAACATCTCCCTCGATGCCGCTAGTGCTGTGTTCATTTGTCAATTTTGCCAGTGTTTGATTGCTGCTGCTGTACATATGTGCGTGGTGATCCTGGCGGCAGGCGCTACGTCGTGTGCATTGGCGGCGTCGCGGCTTTCGACAAGCCGAAACTGGCCAACGGTGACGGGTCGAGTTCGCGGCAGTTGGCACGGCTGAGGCACGGAGCAACTGTGGCAGTGGTGGCGCAGCAACGAGATTGGCTGAAGGTATGATCTCGCGTGCAACGATCGCGCGCATTTCGACTGGCGTCCAACAGCCAGAGATTGTTTTGATGTAGTCAGCGAGTTGCGAAGCTACACGGGGCTTGTCATCGGCAGAAACAAAGTCTGGTTGCTTGATAACGGTGTGTATGTGGAAAGTTGTCTGCTGTTGGTGTGCTGGGAAATGAAAAATGGCCTCTGAATGGCGCGGCACCAGGACGAATGCTGGTGGCATTGCAATTCGACGGCCTGCATGTTGTATTGGCGCAAACACACGTATGTCCCACCATCGCCTTTCTCCCTCGCTACTCACCCCGACGTTTCTCTCTCTCTCTACCAGGTGATCTACGATTCCAAGGCAGTCTTCACGCCCACGCCCGACGACCTCCTTCCCCACTCAACATCACCCGCGGACTTCTGGGTCCGGCAGCGGCAGGACGACACGTTTTTCCTCATGCCAGAGGCATTGGCGGGCAAGGAGCTGGACATAGAAACGGTCGCACATTGCCCCGATCTTGGCAGCAAGGAAGGCGGTGTAATTGTTTCCATGCTCCTTGGGGACGAGTACGACGATGAAGAGGATGCACGTTTCGCGCCACTGGAGGGGGGGATCGACCGCACCGACGCCGAGCGGGAAGCGGCGCGCTCTCCGGAGGGGGTGAGTAGCAAACTCCCAACCATGTTACGCCAACGGTTTCGTTTGTTTGTGTTTCGGTTTGATTCCGTCGTCGAAGTTTGTGTTTCGAAGGTGCCCAACTAAATCGTTTTTTGGGGTCTTTGATCGTTGTCGCGTTAGGGTTAGGGTTAGAGGTGGGCGGTTCGTTGCCTGGTTGTGGACAACGTGCTTCCGTAGCTTCGCCAGTAATTGCATGTTTGTAGGTGCCAGGCAACAAGCGCGATTGTGCAGTGTGTACAAATATTCGGTCTGGAACACTTGTGTGTCAATCGTTCTGCGATGTCGTATGTGAAGAGGCCCTCAATGCAGCGAAACCAGAATGGCGATAACACGGACCCCCCCGCAGTCCACCCGACGCCTGCATTCATCAGCCACCTTCCTGTCTGCGCTCTGTTCCTCCGTGAGCATCGTGCACAAAGTCGACCGTAATTACGAAGTTCCGAGTCCGTCTGGTAAAGTACGTTTCATTTCCTGCCTTCGTCTTGCATCCCCGACTTGTGTGGTGACTTCGTCAGTGGGATGCCGCGACAACTCGCTTCCCCGGGGATGTGGGCGGAGGAAAAGCAATCGCTCATGACAACGATCGGCGGTACATCCAAGGCCAGACCCGCGGTGCTCTGTGGACCTCAACGGTAGAAACGTGAGAGGCCTGCCTTGGTTTTCTGTCATGAACCGGATACGTCGTGTAGGTTTCACTCTTCGCAAGCAATTCCCACGATCCGGTCCTCCGTTCCTACGAAGTTTTCGAGTCTAAAATTTGAAGAAAGGTTAGGTGTTGCCTGAGAGCGAGTAGACCACAGGTTGTACGTACCTTAGCCGATTTGTTGTACGGAAAATCTGTCCGGTAGAGCGTTCTGGTTTAGCTAGCACATGGTATGCGATTTCAACAACAGCCCACACGCCTCGCAGATGTTGTCGCGACCGTGGCACGTAACGTCTGTGTTTGGTGCACTCAGTACTAGATACGAATCTACGGAGATCCAGGTTACCCCAACAGTCATGGTATATCCTGTCCTCTTGCGAACCCTCAACGACCAAGCCCAAACCGACTGGTTCAGCAATAGCGTGCTGTTGCTTGCCCGAACAGCAACATATGTTTCCCGGCTTCGTCCACCCGCCGGTCGACCGATTTCCAAACGCCTTGCTCTTCGTCTCCTCGTCCGACCACAGCCTCTGTGCGGCCACCGCGACCTACGGAGTATCCGCTCTTCTTGCGGTGGCGGCGCACTGGCAAGGTGGGGCCGGGAAGCCGTCTTACTTGAGTTTCTTCGGCTCCGCGCGGATCTTGTGGGAATTCCTGCGGCTGACGAGCAACATCGAAAAGGTGAACCTATGGTCTGTCGACGCGTGTCGCGCTTTGCGGCAAGGGTTTGCTAGATACGCCGTCGGGGGAGGGTGGTCCGCACGCGCCCACGTGGTTTTGGTGCTAGACGTAACCGAAAATGCGTGTCTTTTTTCTCTGCCGTCGTCACCATGCAAAGGGGCTAAGCGTTCTCAAGCCATCCGCGTTAGCTGAACCCGAGGCGAGATGGAGTGCCAGCTTTTGATCGGAATCTCCTCGCTCTCTAAATGGTACAACTCGTGCCTGTGTCGAACGGCAACGTAGTTGCCGAATGAAGACTGAACGTGGCTCAGTCTCAAGCGCATGAAGCCCACACGCGTTTTGGTCATCTCTCTCTCTCTCTCTCTCTCTCTCTCTCTCTCTCTCTCTCTCTCTCTNCTCTCTCTCTCTCTCTCTCTCTCTCTCTCTCTTTGTGCGCTGAAATAGGGCGATCTACAGTCAGCAGCCTTTTCAACGCTAAAGCAACACGTGGGCGAGCGCATTGCGAGCGAAGGGGGAGGGGCATTCGGCGCGTGCCTTACGGGGCATGCGCTCGGCGCTCTGCGTACCCTCGCGGCACAGCCTAGAATCAAGGCCGTGGCACGTGTCTTCGAAACGCCCCACCCATATCAAAACAATATGGTGAGTGGACACGCTTGTGAGCGCGGTTTGTGTTGGCCACCGCACCGTCGAAGACTATGGCTGATGGGACGCGATACAATTAGGGTTCTGAGTCAAAAACGTTTTGACGCACAATTGACATTCCGACCGAAAAATGGCAGGTACGTGTGGCAATGTACAGCAGTAGTCAGCGGCGATACGGGGAGAACGATTTCCACCAGTAGCACTGACGGCGTTGTCCCTTGTGAACATTTACGTTTGGAGTTGTGAACCGTAGGAGACCTTTCCTCGCGTTCGGCAGACGACCAAATGTTTTGTAGCTGTGCATTTGCGCCAACCCATGCAAGCATACCTGCCCGTTTCTGGACGCTTGGCTTCGTTCATACCCCGACATCCTTCCTCTCACGCAGAATGTGGAGTGGGACGTGTACCTGCCCGAAGCGAAGAGGATTAAGGTCGTCTTTGATCCTCGCTCTCGTACGGAAACCAGCTGCGACTGGGTGGACATCATCCTGCAGGACCCTGACGGCGGCGCTGTTCCTTCAAATATAAGTCGAGGGCTGTACCACCGCTTTCATGGGCGGGGCGGCCGCGAAAACTTCCCCGGTTTCGGCGGCCGCCTACCGCTGTGGCTTGAAGGGAACCGTTTCGTCGCTCGCTTCCAAAGCGACCCCACCGCTACTGATTGGGGAGTCCGCTTTACTGCCTACGGGATACTCGACTGCGATGGCAGGGACAGCAGTGGTTGTGACGGCAGTGGTGCGGTAGTGGATGGGTTGAACGTTGGTGATGCTTCGTGTGGCCCCACAAACGGAGCGGCGCAGGGCGTGGCCGCACCGGCATCAACGGGCATTGTGACCGGTACCACTGCTGTAGCCGTTCCCGCTTTAGTGGCAAAAGGACGAGCAGGGACTCGTGAGGTCGAGTTATGCTGCTGGGTTCTCGACTTGCTAAGTCGCAAGGGACATGCGGTGCCCAAGGTGGCATCGCGCCTGTGCGACAACAGCGCGTTGGAGGCGTTCGGGGCATGCCTGAAGACCTTTTCCCAGCAGTGGCGACTAAGCATCCTACGGCTCATCACCGGCATCGTTGCGAGAGTTGGACCAGCGGCGGGAGCGGAGGTGACGGTAGCGCGCTCCCCGGCCGTGGCTGACTCTCAGAACTCACGAGCATCGGCAGGCCCGTCGTACGCGGACACCTGTCGCCTGGTCCAGGCCGTCCTCTCGCTTTCCGAGACTCAACGAGCCATCGAAGATGGGTGTTCGGTGGCATCACCGTACTTGCAAGGCCTCGTGGAGTGCGTCGTGGTCCTGCGCAATCTTCTGGTCGATTTCGCAGACTGGCCCAAGAGTCCAGCGCCTGAGAAAGACAGACTCGGCACGCCTCCCCGGGCAGACCATGCTGCTGAGCGTGATGCCAACGAGGCGGAGAGGCCCTGCTGTGATCTTTCACCGGGAGCCGAAGCTGCTAAAGCTTCACCTGCTGCTACTCGGGAGTCACCAAAGGCTTCGGAAAGGAACCTCTTGGGTGCTGGTGGTGGTGCGGGGGCGGAGGCCGTTGAGGACGTGGCTTCAATCTGGTCAGCGCTGCGCAATTTTTCCCGGGGTACGGCTCCAGGGCGTCTACTGGTGAAGGACTTCCTACCGATGTTGACGGAGGCCTGCTCGGTGGTAGTCCAGAGCGCCCATCCCTTCGACCGGCTGGCGCAACGCCGCGTCGTCTTGGTTCCAGGCGCGGTAGGGGTACAGGTGCGGTTCGACCACCGGACGGAAATGCGCCAGCACGACCGGATCGTCATCCGAGATCCAGCACGTCGCCAGCCACTGGCAGGAGGATCGGCAGTTGCGACAACGCTCGGTCAACACGCCGACGCGGGCTGCTGGTCGGGGATCGGAAAGGCCGCGCCGATGGTCGAGAGTTGCAACCTGCTGCGCGACGGGGGTGAGTTGGGCTTCTCGGGACTGTCGGGTGGACGATCGGACGATCTCCCTCTCGTGTCGGTGGGCGATCACGTCGTTCGCGGCCCTGACTGGGCGTTCGGGGATGAGGATTGCTCCGGAAGACAGCAGCAGGGGTCGACGAGAATAGGGACAGATCCTTCCGCACAGGCCTCCGCTTCTTCTCGCTGCTCCCGGTCTCGAATTGGCGTCGTCGTTGCGCTAGAAAAATGGGGAGAACGCGGCGGCGCTGGGGTTCGAGTGCGGTGGGTAACAGAGCAAGTGGACACCGCCGTCGCCGCCACCGCCGGAGCGACGGAGGACCAAGGAAGAGAAGGGTTTGAAGCCCTCTACTGCGTGCAAAATCCGGCTCACGTGCGCGTCGTTGAGCGCGGGGGAGAAGACCGGGCGAGGAGACCAATCGTCAGGGCAGGTTCCTCTGTTGAGATAGAGGTCGTGCCGGGTGCGAGCGGCAAGGGTGATGGAACCACGCCCCCCCCACCTGGGGGCCAGAGCGACGCCCACTTGTTCCGCTTTGACGGAGAGTCAACGCACGTCGACCTGCCCAGCTACCGAGGCATGCGCCTCGAGGGCGACTTCACGCTCGAAGTGTGGGCGTGGCTTGACCTCGGGTGCGCGCATGACGGGAAAACAAAGTGCGTTGTTTCGAGGGTGCTTCATCAGTCATGCCACCAGGACAGACACGCTGCCAAGGCGCGCCGGTTTCCCTCGGGGGCATACACAAGGCGGGCGCCGTCTAGCTTGGCTACAGCTGCCGGAAGCGAGCAACCAGGTAGTCCACCCCCGGCTCATGCAACAGTCGACGCAGACAAGTCGCCGGAAGACTTGGCTTGGTGCTCGCCCGTTTCTCCTCACGAAGTCCGAAGCCGTGCGCGCTCTGCCACTGGACCCTCAATACCAGGCGGGGTTGTAGCGGCTGGAGCTGGGGCGTCACCGCGAGTCGATGGCGACTTGTCGCCGATGAAAGGCACAAGACTTGTCTCTCCGCCCGCATCGTCGCCTGGCATCGCTCATGTTGGGGTGCAAGAAGCGAACCGGCACAGGTCCGACGAAGTGGGTCGGGAAGGGGCGGGGTGGGAGCGGGTCCGCCTTGAGAAGGGGTTGACGTCGGCGAGCGGTGCCATCGACGGCTTCGCAGACGGTGGGTTACCAGAACCCTTGCTACCAAGGGGTGGAACTCGTGTGGGTGATAACGAGGGAGGGGACGAGGAGAAAACAGAGAGATTCGGGTGCGGAGAAAAGTCTGTTTTTGTCGAAGGTGACGACTGGATCGAGGAGAGTGAGGACGACGAGAGCGACGGCGAGGTAAGCGAAGACGGGCTATTTGCCGAGCTGCGGCTGCTGCTAGCCCGGTGTTTCGGGGATGGCGCTGTTTGGCGCGTAGCTCACGCTGGTGCTTTTGCACGAGTTTTGTCGTGTGTTTGCAGGGAGCTGTTACACGTGTAGAAATTACCGAACAACACCTGGACGGGCATCCAGCAGTCGAGAAGAAACAGGAACAGCCCCCGCTCCCCACCCCTCTTCCGGGTCTATAGGTGCGTGAGGACAATGGTCGTGCCAACAGCTACGAGGCCGATGACAATGGGCAGTTAAGCCTAAGCTTTGAAGACGCTTTGCCGAGCGCCCCGCAGGATGTTGTCATCTCCAGCGTCACGGACAGCAGCATCAAAATGAGTTGGTCCCCCCCAGCTCGTGTTGGCCGCCCAGCGCTCCACAGGTGTGCTTCCCTGTCAAGGCGGTGGGTGTCTTGAGTATATTTGTTCACACATGTTGGGTTTCCTTGGATACTCGTTCGCTCTCGATCCTAGTTGTTGTTGAGGTTCATCGCTTGGATCATAAGGAAGCTGGTGTGTTTGCTGCTCTGGGTAGTACAGCTCTACCTGGATGGCTTTGAACTGCTGTTCTCCCCATGTGATGCCTTGGTACTGCCGGCAAGCTGTGTTTACATCCTACCCGGTTTTGAAAGTTTACCCGACTGTTGATCTCGCCGGCTGCTTGTGATGGGTGGCTCTTGCCTGCTCGTACTGACACGACACAGCTATATCATCTGCCTCGATGATGTGGAGATTGCCTCTGTGGGTGCTGGCAAGCTGGAGTTCACTAACACCAACCGTCCACCGGGGTCGCCGTGCAGCTACAGGTGAACTGCTGTATGTGGTGTGTCGTTCATCCTCAAGTCAGTGTCATTCCCCGCTATTTCCCTCTTTCACACGCCTGGGCATATCATCAACCCAACAGTCGCCTTAGAAACCTCCAGTAACTGCTGTATGGCGTTCGTCGGCACTTCATATCCTGTTTTCTACCACCCCCCCCCTGCCGTTGCGCAGCGTGGCCGCTCGTGGGGCAGCGGGTACGAGCCCCTACTCTGTACCGGTTGTAGCAGGCACAACCACAGAGAATAACACGAGAACGCAACTGGCGCTTTGGGTAGGGGGTCGGGGCGAGATTGAATTTTCCATGGACAACGAGCGCGGGAAGGGTGTTCTCCTCGGAGCAGGACAGTTTCGGGAGGGCATGTGGACGCACTTGGCCGTTTCCGTGGAAGGCCGCAGGGTAGGTTCTCTGCGCGCAAAGACCGTTCGCGGTGCGGCGCCCTCAGCAGTTGACTGAAACGCGGAAACGACATACACATTCCGCTTACGGTTTTTCAGTTTTTGTAACTGGTGGCGTTTGGTTTCTTGTGCAGAGCTCAACGACGTCGCTTTACGGTACGAAGCAAGGGACGCCGTTTCTTCACAGTTGTCTTTGTTCTCCGGCGGGATACTGTGATTTAGATGTCGTGGGCTTGCTGGTGGAATCACCCGGCTCCTTCGATATTGGAGACTTTCATCCCCCACCCCCTTTTCTTGCTGTGTGGAAACCCTTTTGTCGTGCTGGCATCACCCCCCGCTTTTCTCCTTCCCCCGGTTTCCCCTCCGTCCTAGGTTTCGATGTTTGTCGACGGCGAGCGTCGAGCATCCGGCACGTTTGTGGGCCACCGGCTTTTCTCCGACTCTCCATCTCTCTCTGCCTACGACCACCAACTCCAACACCAGCATCGTCGGCCGAGCGCAGAACCTCTACGCCTGGGAAGCAGAGGCGTGCAAGGCTTCTGGCGTGGCCGCCTTTGCGGGATGAGAGTGTGGGGGGCAGCGTCACAAGCCTTGGGCATAAGGCGGAGGATTTCCTCCCTTCCCTCGGCGAGCCTTGTCCGTCCTGCACCGCCGTCTTGCTTTTGTGTTGAAGTTCCTGGCACCCAAAAAACGGTTTGCAGGCTCCGGTTGCACGCTCCCTTGCCAGATCCATCGGATGGTGAGGTAAACCTTGCGCCGCCAGGGGCTCCTGTGCGTGGTCGGGAACGGAAAGCCTATTACGAGGTCCGTTCCTTGCAGGGTGTGTCGATACAAGGGAGAGGCCCCTGTTCTTAAGACTAGGAGGATGTGGTAGTTTTCGACGTTAGTGTACGGGATTGCGCTTTTGCGTGGACCACCTGTTTCTAGGCAGAGTAGTGCTGTTTCGGCTGCTCCCAAAACCTGTACGGGAAGGAATCCATGTGTAGTTGATCTACCCCCTGTCTCGTACCCTGCCTACGTTGGTTGATGTGTCTTTGCAGCCCGACAGCAACTTGTTTCTGCAGCGCATACATCGTACGAGGATCACCCTGCCTTGAACCGGGGAGGTTCACATGTCTCCTGTTCTTCACAGCTCGGGCGGCAGCACCTTTTTACCGGCCGCTCCCTTCCTATCGACCCGCCCTTCCCGCTTTAGGTGGTCCTACGGTCCGGCGGGTGCATGCAGATTGGCTGGGCGCTCCCCTCTTCCAGCCCTTCCTCTCATATCCTAGCGGTGGGTGCCGACGACAAGATCTGGGTTGTTGATGGCAAACGGTCTTCCAAGTGGTACGGCAACGTGTTGCCGGCTCCTTCTCCCGCCCACTCGCATGGTGTGCCGTACGGGGCGGACTGGGAGTGGGCAGCAGGCGACACGATTGGCTGTGCTGTGGATCTCGATGAGGGGGTAATGTCGTTCAGGTGAGGGCGCGGGGGTACTCTCTCACCAGGGAGACGAAGCTGTGGGTGATGGTGCAAGGGTGTTCAGCGGGCGCTTGAGTCCGGGGGGGCACTACTCTGAGAACATGCCTAGCTCTGGGAACTTTGCCAGCTCCAACCTGTTTGAAAGATTACGCAAACGACAGCGGCGGTATTGTCTGTATGGAAATCGTGATGCATATGTTTGTTTCTTTTTTCTTGAGAATAGTGGACAGCAATTCCATGAAGTTGTTGTAAAAATCTTCAATGATCCAGGCTCTCTGCATGTTTTCATCTCCCCTCCTTTCCACTGACGCGTCAAATCCAACCGGTGGTCGAACCTTCCCCCAGCCATAACGGGCGAAACTTGGGGGAGGCGTTCAACCGCGCAACCACAGCCCGTGGCGTCGGTCGATACCGAGTTGTCGCACCCCACGGCGTCGAGTGCCGACTTGGTGTCGACGAACAGTCTCCAGTGGTTGAAACTTACCCCCCAGGGACCGTGCTGCAAGTCTCCCGACTCGAACGATTATCAAGAGGTGGACGCTTGCGCTTGCGCACAGCCGAGGGTTGGGTTGCAGAGAGGGATGCTGACGATCCGGACGACTTCCACTTGGAGCGTCTAGAGCGAGACACGAGCGACCCTGTCGACTACAGCACCGGTCCCGAGCGCTGCGTATTTGTGGACGTGCTCAGAAGTGTTTCTGAGTCGGCGGCGCCTGGGGGAGGCAGAGAGGGCTGGCTCCGGCCCGTCACGCCTCCCCACGAGTGCAAGGACATCGCCATTGGAGAGGGTTGGTCCGAGGTGTTTGCTACCCCGGAGAGTTCAGCAGACGGATGCTTGGTGACCGCCGCACGTACCCACGACGCGACGCCAGGCAAGGGTCAGTCGCCACCAACGCGGAGCTTGCTCACGAGAGGCGTGGACGTCGGGACCGCGGACGTGGCGACCTTCTTCATCGAACTCTTCGTGCCGGCGTGCGAGCCCGCCGCCACCGAAGCTGTTGACGGAGGAATATGGGCATGGGGTGTGGCGTTGGCTGACTTCAATGCCTACCTCACGACCCAGTGCAGAGCGACCAGCACGGAGCGGGATGGCGGCGGTGGCGGCGGCAGCTCTGGCGAGGAAACGGTGGCACCGGGGCACGAGGTCGTTATGGATAGTGACAAGGACCGCCGCCGGAGCACTGCTGGAGGGTCGCTGCACGTCGTTGTCGACGGCCCGGGCGGGGTGATCCACGCCATACCCGTGTGCTCGGCGTTCCGGGGGCGGTGGATGAACCTGAGGATAGTGGCCCACAGGTCGGGAGAATCCTTGCTCGTTTGCACTCCAGGTGCTGAACAACCCCATGACCACCAGCAAGCCACCGATAGCGATGCCACCAGCGGGATACCCCGGGATCACGAAGACGCGTCGGTTTCGCCGTCGACCAAGGCAGGGGCTGGGCACCAGCAGCGTAGGCTCAGGTGCGGATTTTCAAACCCTCGGTTTTTTCGAGGAGAACACTTGGGGAGTGTCGGTCTCTACAGCAAGCGGAGCCGGGGCGACGGCGTTGGTGGTTATCCCTTCCTGGCGAGACACGCCGCCATTCTCTTAGGTTCGTTGGAACATCAGCCCCCGCCGGCGTTGCAACGCCTCAGGGATCTGGAACGCCTCGTGTTGGCGGCACACCGTCGACGGATGGAGGAGCCCACCGCTCGTCCTTCGCTTGTCTTTGCACGGCAGCGGCTGCGCCGGATGTGGTCGGGAGAGGTCCCAACACCCGTATCTCATTCCACAACCGCAGGCGTCACCACCGAGGTCGGAGCTTCTGCTGCAACCGCGAATGGATCTCCGCCGCAAGGGAGGACAACCACTCACTCGACGCTGACAGTGTGGCACCCTTTGCTCTCCCCAGGGCGAGTTGCTCTCGGCACCACGGTTTCTCTCTCCCGGAACTGTACGAGAACCAACACACCACGCCCCACCCACGGACATGATGGCGATGTCGGGCAGGCCCAAAGGCGGTCTGTCGCGGCGTGGGAGCACCCTGGGCTGCAAACGCCCGCGAGGTTCGAGCCGGTGCCGCTGCCGGCTGGCTTGTCAACGCGGACGGTGGCTGGCGAACGAGGGTTGTGGGCGTGGGCCCCCGTGCCGCGGTCGGAGGCATTCTTGGCGATGGGCTTGGTGTTTACGGCGGAACCGGCACCACCGTCGTTGACGGACGTGCGCTGCGCGCGGAAGGAGCTTGTGGTCAATGCTCAGCCACACAAGTGCAAGGTGAGGTGGACTTTCTTGTGTTGTTCCTTGTATGTATCATGTGGCAACGTGGCGTTTTGGCAACGCTTGATTGCTCTAAATACGTGTTCGCGATGTTGGTGGGTGGTCTTCACATCAGGTTCGATGGCGCGTTTGGGCGACGTTCTTTAGACTGGGGGTATCCTTGCGAAGCGCTCACCGAAATAAGTCGTGCTCGGTCTCGGACGGCCCAAGACACATTTTCCTCTCCCTCCGTTACTACCCGCTACCGTCGCTACTCAGACCGTGACGCTGCAGCGAACGACGGAGCAACCAGGCGAACAACTCGGTGTCGAAGACACTGGCCAATGCTGCGAGGAGCTCATCATCGTGGAGGAAATGGGGGTGTGCGTCCCCAAGAACGGGTCGGCATGGGACCTGTCCCCGCGTGTTGTTCTCGGAGACACGGGCACCAATCTCGGCCGGCGCCAGCCCCGGTGGGACGGCCTCATGCCCTTGATCAGCGCGACGGCGGGACAAGGGATGGTGGTAAATATCGGGCATCTACCCTTCCGCTACCCGATGAACGGCTACGCTCCCGTGTCGCAGGTGGCTCACGCCGACGCACGTTTCGTGCTGCAAGTCTATGACGACGTAAATAGAATGTGGCAGAACGTTCGGCCTAGGTAAGCAAGACCCGAAAGTCATTTTTGATTGCTGTGAAAAATCGTGCTGAGGTCATCACGTAGTGGTAGGCGCGTACAGGGATGTTAGTTTGCAGGGTAAGCTTGTTTATTTTTGACCACCCGAATGAATTCAGGATTCGACGAGGGAAGTACATGATTTACACCCCAACGCCTTCTCGGCTCGTTTGTGATAGCTCCCACAAGTCCAACGCTGCAACTCGTTCCTTGGTGGCTGCTCCCTGTGTGGCGTTTATCCGTTTTCAGTCACGGCTTGACGGACGCAAGAGAGCCGCCGCGCGCGCCGGAGCTGATCGGCAGCTGGTCGCTTTGCGCTCGCACCAATGCCACGGACACCGCCAACGGCAGATATCTCGCAAACGACGTCTTCGTCGAGTCCGCAGCCCACACGCCGCCGCCATCCGCACATAACAGCAGCGGTGGTGACGGCAGGTTGGTGAGGTTGCCGCCAGCCCGAGTCGGCGGCACTCTGGAGGCTGCGGCCCCTGGGGGGCCGCCGATGCCGAAAGAGGAGCAAGAGGTATGGGGTTTGAGCTTGACGGTTAGCCCGCTCTTCCCTTCGGAGTTTGCCGACGCGCACCCTTGGCTCGGAGAGCGGTTTGAGACGTTCGCGGCTCTCGTGTGGGGGGAGCATGAGCAAGCGCTTGCTTCGAACGCGGAGTTGGTCAGGTAAGGCTTATTGACGTTGTCCCATGGCCGTATAATCACTAGACTATTTCTCGCAGACTCACGCCGTCGCCGCCGCGACAAGAATCGCAGAAACAAGTTCAGTCAAACGTGCTCCAGCAATTACGTTGTTGCTGTAGGCGTATCGAGCAAGCTATTCTCGACTTATTGCGCTAAATGGGTGCAAACCCCAGATTCAGAGCAGACTTGCAGCCACATGCATATCCTGCGAGGCCAATCAACGCGGCCACTGCAACAATAAAAGCAAGCCCTCGAGATCCTTTAGCTCCACTTCCCTCACTCACTCTCCCCCCGCCCCTGCTCACCGTTATGCCGACCTTTACTCAGGTATGTAAATGCCGTTGCATCACAGAAGGGGCTATCGAAGGAGGCGCTTCTCACCTGCGACTGGGCGGCGTTACAGCCCCCTGGCACAGACCTCGCAGACTGGCCGCTGCTGCAGTCAATGGCGGCGTCGCGAACGGCGGCACCGGTGGCTACAGCCTCTGTCGTTTCCCCAAGGTCTTCATCCGGCGACGGAGGAGGAGGCGGGGAGGAGACGAAGCAAAGCGAACCGCCCGAAGGTGCCCGTCAAGACGTCGTCGCCGTTGTGGACGACGACGACGGGCATTACGACGAGTGGGTAGTGGCGAAGGCCGTCGCCTCTGGCCCGGAGAGGAGGGGCGTGAGGGTAAGGAAAGCGCCTGTCGAGTGCGGGAATGTGTTGTGGCGTCTCCCGTCCGGACAAGCGGGGCGACTTCTGCCGCCGCTGCCGCCGCTGCCGGGAGGACGGGGGACAAGCGAGAGCTCGACAGGCGGGACAGGGTGGAGACGTATTCGCGGCGCGGGGGGTGACACGGGGTGGGTGCCCCTTACCCCGATAGACGCCACGGGGTCGCCGGTACCGTCTCCCCTTGAACGCGTCTGGGCGCGCAGGTTCATCCTGGATTGGTTCTCTCCGGAGGCGGCGGGATGCCCAAGAGGCGAGGAAGGCGACAACGAGGGCGGGTTAAAAGCGCGTGCAGCAGCATCGAACCTTGACGTTAGGGAAGGTGCGTTTTGGCTCCCGTTGAGGAGACGAGGCTCCGCGCCCGCAGCAGACGGCGACAACGGCGCGGCCGTGCGGAGTCCTTCCCCGATTTCCGCCGCGCGTCTCCTGGGGAACAGCGACGCCCTCTTGTTGAGCGCGGTCGATGCTAAGGGTGGCGACGGCAGAGGAACCTTGCTCGTCACAGGCAAGTGGACAGTTGGGTTGGTGACGGACATGCTCACCGTCACGACAAGGACAAGCGGTTGCACGAGGTTAGAAGTCCCGCCTGTCGCACTGGACTGCAGCGTTAACAGCGTCGGGGGAAAGGCGGAACGGACGGCTGACCCCTTGCCCGTGCTCGTCGATGGGCTCGTCTTCGGCTTCCGGGCGGTGGATGGCCTCCTCGTTGTAACCCGGGCGTTTCCGACGGCCGCCGGGGCGGGAACGCTGCAACACGCGCAGCCCGTGGAGCAACAGGCCTTGGCGTGGCTGGGAGGGCTAGACGAGGGCGCGGAGGTTTCTTTCTCGATTGTCGACAGCGGCCAAGATGTCGTGTTCAGCTGCAGAGAGGTCGGCGCACCCCGACGGACGGCCACGGTCCGAGCGAAGTGTAGGGACACGTGGGGCCGTGGGCGGGTGGCCCTCGGGTGTCGAAGTGTAATGACAGAATCCTCCACCAGCGGATGGGTCCGCGTGACGAGCCAGGCACACGGCGCCACGGTACGTTCCGGCAGGAGTATCGACGCCGATGGGGTAGTGGGTCGAATCCCCTGCGGGACGGTGGTGCCTTTTGACAGCGCGGTCTTGTACCACTCTCCCGGGGCTCCAGATCGCGGCGGCATCGAACCGGTGATTCGTTACCGGTGCTTGGCGACTGCAACTACGCCGGCGGGCTGGATTAGCGAACGGGGAAGGTAAGCGCAGCCACCATTTTTTTTTAAGACCCATATCCGCAGACCACTGCTTGCGGTATCACAAGAGACCTCAACAGTCATATTTTGTTCTCGCATCGATCACTCTCCCTCCTTGCTTTTCGTCTCCGCCCGTAGGTACGCCAATCACCCGTATCGCATCTGTGAGCAGATTCTCGCACGGTCGCAGCAAATCCCCGCGTCCATCTCGCACGTCTCGGTTGCAAGAGTTCAATCACCGGCATCTTTTGTCGGTGGGGACACTCTAGCGGGACGGAGCAGTTTTTGCCGGGACCAACCGCTGCCGCCCGTCCGGAAGGCAGGGAATGCCGGCAGCACGGCGGGGGAAACCCCCGACGAGGAAGACCAGCAACGCCGGGAGTCAGAGTGGCAGCAGCGCCTCGGTGAGCTAGCGGTGCTACCGACCAGGTTCCACCTGATCCAGCAACTAAACCGAGGCGTGTCGAAAGTGCTGAGGTATGTCGACCTCTCACAGGGCGACCTGCCATGGTCGGTGGCCGGGCTGCTCTCCCGCTGCCGCCACCTGGTCTTCTTTGCCCTCAGGCAGGAGGCGTGGCAGGCCGAGCTCGCGAGAACGTCGCGACCGCCGCCGGCGGCGGCGGTGGCGCATTCAAGCGGGGAGGCGACGCCGCCGTCCTTGGAGCTCCGGCTCAGCCGCGGCCGAGCTGCTCGGCACGCGGGGTTGGGCACGCCCCGGGCCGACCAGAAGGGGCGGCAGACCTTGTTCTGCCAGGCCTTTTTCTCGTTGAGGAATACGAAAGCGTCGTTCTTCCGGCTACGGCCGGGAGAAGTGCTCTACAGTACGGTTTTCGTCGGAGAACATGCGCACGATGCGGGAGGTACGTCGTTGGTTAGTCGCAGCATGTGCTGTTTGCCTTGTGGTGATGGATCTTTTTTGGATTGTCGTGCGTATCTGCATGAGGAGGTCTGCGTGTCTGCTTGGTTTACGCGTGTTTGTTCGCTTTGTGTGACGGCCTTGTTGTTCGCTTCCGAAGGCTACACGAAGGCCGCCGCGCATTCCTAGTATTGTTTGAATACCCCACCCGATAACCGTCTCGATGTTCATCATGTTGCCGCAGCAGGCGCAAAGCCGTGTGTTTTATACCCCTGCTTCATGCTTGCCGCCCTCCCTCCAGAATAAAGTGTGACGGTTGCCCGGGAGCACCACTTCGCGACCTCGACAATAAAACCTATCCAAGCAGCATGCATCGCACGCGCTTTCGAATTCTTTCCCTCTGCCCCCGTCCCCTTGTCTCTGGTCTAGGCCCGTACCGCGAGTCCTTCGCCGAGTATTGCGCCGAGCTTCAGTCTGGTGCGCTGCCGTTGCTGATCAAGTGTCCCAACTCGGTGAACGACGTCGGCATCAACCGTGAGAAGTGGCTCCCGAACCCGGCCATCGGCAAGGTAGGCCCCAGCGCGGCGCTGCACGACGAGATGCTGGGTTTCCTCGGCCGTTTGATGGGCGTCGCAATTCGCTCTCAGGAGCCGCTCGACCTGGACCTGCCTTCGATAGTCTGGAAGCAGCTCGTGCGCTCGCCGATTACCAGGTAAAACAAATCCCGCGCTGGTGCATGACGATGGCAGGCTCGGGCGATACCGATGGAACAGTTTTAGCCCTTGAGGTGAAAGGAGCACAACGGCTGGGAAAGTACATCCCGACTATCAACTGCAAGCGCCGCCGTGACGCGGAGTCCCGTCAACACATGAAACCCGTCTACCAAGCCTCTGTCACTGACTGATGCCCGTCTCGCCACGTGCGTGGCCTTTCGCCCCTCGAACCTCTCCAACCGCACAGGGACGACCTAGAGGCGGTCGATTTCGCGCTGACTCAAAGCCTAAAGGCCGTCCGCAACATCCACCTGGGAGGAATTGCAACAGACGAGGCTTTCAGAGACCTGGGGCTCGGCGGGTTCGAGGTCGCCACCGCGGACGGCGGGAGGGCGGGACTGCCGACTCCCGGTGGGGCGGCGCGGGAGGTGACTCTGGACAACCGCCTGGAGTTCGCCGATATGGCGGAGGAGTTCAAGATGCGAGAGTATCGGGTGCCGGTAAGGACAGCGTTGTGTGTTGGTGGTCTTGATGGCTGCTGTTGTTGCTCTGTACCGCTTCTCTTATCGGTATGTAATATGCAGTTTCTGCCGGCCATTTGAGAGCGGGGTTGGTATTGGCTTCCATGCTTATTCACGTGTTCAATATCAATTGTCTTACCTGTTCCGAGGTGCACTATCTCGTACAATTAATGTTGTACTTGTACGTTATTAACGTGTGCCCGATGACTCCTTTCACGGAGTTCTCGCCTCTCGTTTCCTTCTGCCTTGAAAATTTTGCACGCACGTGAAGGTGGAGGCCATCCGTCGCGGCCTGGCTTCCGTCGTCCCCATTGAGCACCTCAGGCTGTTCTCGTGGGACGAGCTGGAGGTGTTCGTGTGCGGCCGCAAGGAGGTGGACGTGGACCTCCTGGAGGCCTGCACAGAGTACACCCTGTGCTGCCGGCAGGATTCTCACGTGTCGGCCTTCTGGAACGTGCTCAGGTCCTTCTCGCCGAGGGAGAAGTCGCTCTTCCTCAGGTACCCTTGCGTGCCGCGGTCGTCGTACTCGTCGTCGTCGCCGTAGCGCTGTGCGAATGGGTATGCCACAGAAACGTCCGCGCTCGCTCGGTTACCGGACTGCCTTGTTTACTGAAGAGCGAAAACCGTTCCCGGTCCCGTTTTTGAGTCACCGCGTGGTGGCTGTATACCGTACCATCCGGTGCCGCTAAGTGCGAAAATGGTGGCATACGATGCCGAGCGCTGCCTCAGAAGGGTTTCCATGTCGTCGCGATGGGTAGTTAAACTGGTTACGCCTGCTTCCAGAGAGTCTCGACCATCCGCAATGGCGTTGCACCGCATGAAGTACTATACGCCAAATAGTATGAAAGGACGGGCCCAGTACGACGCCGGCCGCCGGTTCACATCGATCATCGTGTGTTGGCGGGCAGTCAGTATAATTCGCTTCTGCAAAAAAAAATTGCATCACAGGTTCGCGTGGGGGCGATCGCGCCTACCGCTGAGCGCGGACCAGTTCCACCAGGCCTTCAAGATCCAGGCCTTCGCCCGCACTCCGGCGGACGCCTACCTGCCCGTGGCGCACACATGCTTCTTCAGCTTGGAGCTACCCCGTTACAGCAGCCAAGAGGTAGGATGAATTGCAAATCACTCCGATACGCCTGGTTTGTCGTGCCTGTCGATGGTACTCAGGTAATGAAGCTTTTTTTCTACTTTAATTTTGTGATATGTCGATGAATTCGAGACCGTTTACTGCCTTGTTGAACGCGTGGTAGAGTGGGTTGCAATTGGGTTTAGGCAAGTTGACGTCCGATGAACAGAAGGCGAATAAACGGCGGCGTGGGGTGAGTACTGTAGAACGGTGAGATCGACCATTGAGGGTTGAAATCGGGAAAACATAGGGTGAAAGTAGGGTGGAATGTGGTCAAGATAGGGTCAAGATGATGCCAAACCAAAGAACGTTCGGGGTCCAAAGTCGCCGTCAACTCAATTGCAACCTCGATTGACTCGATTTCGACATATTTTGACCAGGGTTCAACTTTTGTATTGGTCCAACCAAGGCCAACATCGCTTAGTCCAACCACTGGCAATCCGGTTGTAGCCCTTTGTCACCGCATTTTTACCCCGATCTCAACCTCGGTTGTCTTGATTTCACTCTCTCGCAGTTGATGCATGTGTGTCAACCCCCCCCCCCCCCCCCCCCCCCCCCCCCCCCCCCCCCCCCCCCCCCCCCCCCCCCCCCCCCCCCCCCCCCCCCCCCCCCCNCCGCTGCCCGCACCGGACGCCAATCTTGTCAGGTCTTAGAGACAAAGCTTAGGTACGCAATGTCCAACTGCCGCGCGATGGACGCGGACGACACGAGCGTCGGGCGAACGGCTGCTGGCCTAGGTTGGGGCGGGGATCCGTGAGGAATGAACGAGGCGCGTTCAGCGCCGGTCGCGTGAGCACTGTAGGCGATAGCGGTGTTGAATCCGGAGGCGAGCGACCTGGGGAGATAAAGGGATTGGGTCGCGGGACGTGACCGCCACTTGTTCAGAGTGGTCGGTCGGGAATGTAAGAAAACGTGGTGAGTGAATACGCTGTGCGAGGTTGTCCTGCTGTCTGTGAATGTGTTCGGGGGTGAATTATTGAGACTACGTTTGTGTTTGTGCAGACAGATGTGTGTTGGTGTTGCAATGTGTCCCCTTACAGAGGGGGTACACTGTTGAGGGTGTTCTCATATCTTTTTCTTTGTTTGGGTTGGGTCACAAATGAGCGCACATGCAAAGGTTACGGTTGCGTGAAGCAAAGGATGACCCCCTTTGTGTGCCTGGGTTGTCTGTGTGTATACGTGTCTCGTCCTTGATGGCCTTTTTGTTCAAGATGTTCCATGTTTCATACTGTAGACTTCCGCGCGGGAGTGGACGCGACGGGATTCATTCCTGATCAAACGTGAACAACACCAGCTGTCGGTGTCAACAGCCTGCAAGACCACCACCAACTATAAAACAGCGCGGCATACATCCTTGTGTTGTCCGCTGCCCCTGTATGGAATTTTGACTATGCAAATGGTATGCAGCATTGTTTATCGGGTTCTCTTCTCCGGAGGCGCTTCTTCTTGGGACGATGGAATTCGTGTTGAATCGTACACGCTTTGGATGACGGTGTAGTTTGTTCGCGATTTTTTGTCGGGGGCAACCGCAGCTGATGAATCCGATAGCCGGAACGGAAGGTTGTGTGTTTTGGTACCAGGCTCTGTGCCTCGTTTGTAACGTCAGTTTTCGTTTTTTCGTGCTTTTTCTCGGGGCCCACCTCTCCTTCGGAAGGGTCTGAGACACGCAGGAATCGATGTCGCCCGAGCATGTCTACCCACATGTACATCGAGCGGCGTACGTGCTGTACAAAGGTGGCTTTTGTCATGATTTTGAAGGTGGCATTAGCTCTGTACGCACGGCAAGTTCAAGTGCTTTTTTTGTGCACGGGTGTTGCACACAAGAACATCCCTGCAGGGTATTCCCCTCTTGTGTTGGATGTCTTCATAGCAATTTTTGGTCGATTCGAGGAGGGTGGCGCCGATGGACGCATGGTAACATTGACGCTCACAAGTGTCTCGTGTCCCTCTGTTGTTCGTTGTTCCTCGTTGGTTGGCGCTCAAAAGTAGTGTGGATGCACGATTCTTGAACTCGTGTGCTAAGTTTTCGAACGATAACGTTAGCGGGGGGGGTCCGCTGGCGTTATACGGGCAGGCACATGAGGTGAAATGTATTTTTTTTCTCACCCTCCGAAGGCCACTGTTTTGCGCGCGCTTCTAGAACCTATTTGCTTGTTGCACATGCAAATAGCAGGCTAAGTAACGGGAAATAGTACTTCTATTTTGTCGACCACTTGTCTTACCGCTCAAGGTATTTTTGAGAACGCGCCTCAACAGAGTACACAACGAGAGCGCCGTATGGTCTGGCCTACACGTTCGTAGGTCCCCCCACCCTCCTCTGAAAAACGGGCACACCGAGGTGAATTTTTACATCTGACGCATTTGGCGGCTGCCAAAAGTACTTTTTCGAACGAATGAGTGAATAGAGCCGTAGATAACGGGTGGCAAACCTGTCCCTCCAGATTGTCTGGAAAAACTATTACAGGCGGTGCTCGCCAAACGGCAAGTTAATACACCCTTCTGAACTTTCTAGTGACAGGAGTCGGGGGGGGGG